AGTGGAGAGCAGATGTGTTCGTATGTGCTAGATCAGTACAAGTGAGGGCAATATCTGTAAGTTATCGAACGGAGAGAACTGTTTGTAACTCAATGGTCTAAGGGTATGAAGTTTGGTGCTAAAGAGAAATGTCACTTTGATGAAAATATCTGAATATAATATTTGTCGCTGATATTATATGCTAACTTTGAGTGAAAAGAAACATAGAGGTTTAAAGGAAAAACCACGTGTAAAAATGTTGTAACATCCATGATATGGATTAACGATGTGTGTAGGATGCATTTATACAGGTGGTTTGGTTTTTGGTTAAGTATTATCGACTATACATATTCATGATAAAGATGGGTTTGGTAGACAAAGTTTTCGTTAGTATACATGAAGAGTGAATAAGCTGAATTACCAGCCAGTTAACATTAGCGAATCATTTATTGTGCTCTGGTATGGTGCTTTCTCTCAGCGACTCTGTAAATTCTACTGTTTTCAACTACTATCAAACATCACAGTGCAACAGTTTTGAGCGTACCAAATCCTTCTTATTCAAAAGCAGACGCACTTTTCCCTAATATTCACATGTAACTTGGTTTATCCTTGAAATTTACTGATCATGTTTGGATAGCACCAGTCATTCTTCAAACTGTAGACACTTTGATGTGAAGCTATTTATCAATTTCATCTTACTTATAAACTAGAATGTCCCTCGTTTGGCTGACGGATATTCTGTGGTATATTATTATTAGATATAATGAAGATAATGGCTAAATATTCAACTAAGCCAAATCTTACTTTATGAACATGCTCACCCATAAAACGCCGATAACTGTTCATGTCCTCTCTGATAACTGCTCTCCTCTTGTAGAACCAAATAAGCGTGACCTAGGTCTGCTTCTAACAAACTAATGAAACTTAATCCTCACCTTTTTAAGAGATGTAGCTGGAGCTTATTCTTCTCTATTTCTTTCACACAAAACTAAGTATGTTCACTCTTAAACTACTTTGAACGCTATTCCAACGTCATGTATGGCAAATCTCGGAAATCATGATACGGTTTTATTATCCCTTTAAAAAATGAAACCACTGCCTCTTGAAAAGCCCATAGACAAGCAAAAAAGTGACCACATGAGAGTCAAAATGCAGGAAACTGCCTCTGTGAGATTATGTATTCGTCCACTAGTAATTGGAGGGGAGTGATGTTATCTTAGTCTACGACGTACTGAGTAATCCAGACCATCTCACCAGGGTAACCCTACCAGAGGGATACGATATAGACACAGGAAGCAATCTTCACAGAGTTTCACACCAAACGGTATGCATCACAGTGATAAATCGGGTTTATATACTGCCAGTATTTTTTATTTAACAAATTCTAGTTGCACAATTATAGCTCTTTCACTAGGCCGCAGCAAATGATAGCTAGATGATTCACTGAAGATTCACGAACTACCTTTAAAAAATGGCCAACAAGCGAATGACTAGAATAAGATATCAATACAAAAATATCATGTGTTTTAACGCTTGAATTCACAACCTTATTTAAAAGTACTCTTTAAAAACAATTTCACTCGACTGAATGAGCAGAATTATGCATCATATGTCATACTATGTCTACATAACGACTTGTTAGGGCAGTTCTGAAAATTTCAGCGACTCCCTGTTCGTCTTTGATTTAAAGATCCTATAAAAATTGGGAAGTTTGATAAGGCCTTTTTCCGTAACACCTTGGTGATCGAAGGATGCCAACCCTGTCAAATCAGAAGTCAGGAGTGAACGAATTTGAAAACATATTTGGAAGGTTGTAAATGTGTTGAGAAGCATTCAATTTGAGCTGACTAGCAGTTGCAAAGGATGAGTAGCATGGTGTGCTCACTCGTGATCTGGTACAGATGGGTGGTTGAGCGCCTTCAGTTAGGGTGTGTCCAGTAAGACTAATGAGGTCTGTGTTATTTGTCACCACGGATAGCTTGATATTATGTTGTATACCAGGGGCATGTGATGACCAACATGCATGTGAAAACATAGGGGCGTGATGAGGAAGAAATGAAGCAGACCGATGACGAAGTACGTCCATACAGATCACGATAGACGATGATACAGGGAACTTATTAGCATAATAAGAATTCAGATGTTTCACATATTATGATAGCTTAACATAGTCAACTGAACCACCTGTGAATGGTGTACAGATTTCTGACCCCAGAAATCTAATTTCTCTGAGAAGAACTTTTCAATGTTTTAAGAAAGAATTTGTCTTTAAGTACCCACCAAAGCTGCCAAGACAAAAGGGCAAGATATAAAATGACAAAAATGAGAATAAGTACTGGGAAATGAACGTCGCTCGTAGGCTCCTTCCGGTATAACAACAACAAACAGAGTACACTCATTTAAAGAAGGTTCCTATGCATGGATGGCACCAGCGGTGTGAAGCGAAATATAGATCCGATGGCGTCATTGATTATCAAGGCTAAGAGTAACACGTAATTTAGAGCGGCTTAAAAGGATCTTATAACGCTTATGATCGCCAATAACAGGCAATGTTCAGTAGCGCAAAAGAATGGAGGACGAATATAGGATTTATTTGAATATCAGTAACAGACGTTGACTACAAATGTGGTTAGGCATAAAGTGTCACAGATAAATAAAAAATGTGTTCCTTATTTTCGCTGTTACAAAAATCATTTGACACAGAGGTCACTATAAACTACTGCAGATGAATGGCTGAGTTAGCCTCATAGGATTCTACAAAATGAGTAAAGTAGTTGATTTCAGTTAATATAGCAACTCAAACTATCTAGCTAATGTATCTTAGGACGGTCATTGGGACTTCCTACTGCACACGCTCTTACGTGCTGCAAAGCAGTCAGTTCCTCAAACAGTTCCCAAAAGCTGCAAGCCACCTACAGTAATCAAGAACCGTACCCTTCGCCTGCCAAGCCGCGGAAGGCACTGTTAGGCGGAATATAAACGAACTGACAACGACGGAGCGTACAGGCAATATAAAAATATCAGGAACATATGCACGAAGGCTATAAGAGAAGACAGGCTTCAGTACCAGACAAAGCTTATGGACACATTTGCCTCCAAACCTAAAAGCTAATTCCGTTATGCAGCCTCTCTTCGTCAAGCCAAAACTGGGGTTTCCCAACTGGCAGGTCTTAACGGCCCGACCAACAACGATGGTCACGCCGCTAACTTTCTGGCTTAACAATACTTTCAAACATTTCAACCGACTAACATCAACTATACTGGTGACAGTTTCGTTTGCAATTCCACAGAACTTTCCGAAGTTGACCTAAGCGCTGACTTGATGTTCCAGAAACTGCAGCGCTTAAGATTAGACACTTCTCCTGGCCCAGACATGGTCCATTCCGCCATACTGAGGGAAGCAGCCTCAATCTTGGCAACGCCGCTTAGCGTGATGTTCTCACACTCGCTAAGTCGAGGAAAACTACCGGAAAATTGGGAGCTGGCTCACATCACACCGATTTTCAAAGGAGGTCGACGCAGCGAACCTTCAAGTTACCGACCGGTGGCTTTTCTCTCCATACCCTCAAAAATCATGGAGTCCTTGATATGCGATGGTATAAGTGACTAGTTACTGTCCTTAAATTTCTTCTCACCCCAACAACATGGTTTCAGGAAGGGTTACTCTTGTATAACCAACCTGCTGACTGCGGTGGACAGATGGACAAGCAGCCTTGATGACAAGGGGAAGGTTCATGTCATCTATCTAGATTTCTCAAAAGCTTTTGATAAGGTTGACCATACATGTCTTATCAATAAGCTCAAACGATTGGGTATCAGACCATCTCTAATCGATTGGCTCACTTCATACCTGAAAAATCGACATTTTAAGGTCAGGGTTAATTTCAATTTACCTCAGGCTATGGAATGTCCTAGTGGGGTCCCCCAGGGCCCAGTATTAGGGCCTCTTCTCTTCTTGATCTACATAAATGATCTTCCTCAACAGGTAACGTCAGACTTATTACTTTTTGCCGACGACGTGAAACTTTGGAGAGAGATACGCAACCAAGACGATATACAGGCACTTCAGGAGGATCTGACTCGACTTCAAAGTTGGGCAGACGATAACGGACTTACCTTTAACACTTCAAAGTGTAAAGTAGTCCATCTGCGACATGTCGCAGACTACAGTTGTAACTTGGGTAACTCATCTCTAGTAGTATCTCAAGTCGAAAAAGATTTAGGAGACTTGGTGCCCTACGATTTAAAGTCTTACGCTAACTGTGACAAAAATGCCTTCCGAGCAAACCTTGCACTGGTAACATTGAAGCGCATTTTTGGACAGTTTGACGGAAGAACTTTCCATATAATCTTCAATAGTTTTATCCGTCCACATTTAGAGTACGGAAACATAGTACTCCCCCTCATCTCAAAAGGATAAGGACACTTTGGAGCGTATCCAACGACGAGTCACGAAATCAGTTCGAGGACTCAAATCTAAACCTTACGAAGAGCGCCTCCATTCACTTAACCTTTACCCATTAGAATATAGATGTCTTAGAGGTGACCTTCTGATGGCTTATAGTATCCTTACCACTTCTGGACATCCTCTCAAACACCTACTTAAACTTAGTTCCAACACTAACCTAAGAGGTAACACCCAAAAACTGGAAACACAACATAGCAGAACGGACTGTAGACACAACTTCTACTCCTTAAGAGTTGTCAAATACTGGAATTCGCTGCCGGCCGAGCTAGTCCAAGCGACTTCTCAGGAGTCATTCAAGAGGCGACTTGATCTATTCTCAAGGAGTAAGGATAGTATCACACTATGATTTACTAATTTCTTTTCCTGTTTTATTGTTAACATACCTAGGTTCCTGCCTGGAGGATTTGGTGATCCCCTGCTACTAGACACGGAAGCCTGTTAAGCGAAAGCTTCTTCTGTTTCGTCCACAACCATTTTGAACCATTTTGAACAAAGATATAAGATATTGTCAGATTGAAACACAATTAGCTGCGCGATACGAGTTGAGTGCTGCATGTCGGGTTTAAGGAAACCACGGCTACCAACGCTCTTCCAGAGGTAGGTCCTATGTTTTTGTGATTACTAGTACTCAGTGATATAAATAGGCATAAAACTACGCACTTTGATTACTGATTATAACTGAAAATGTCAGTACTTCAGTATGTACCTTTCGAAACAGTAGTAGACACCTCATTCTGGCATGGTTTAGCTGATCGGAAGCTCAATGAATATCGTCTTTCCGAAGGCCCTTTTGAAATATCAGCACAGTTTACAAATAGTCATGCTAATGGCGTTTCCCCCAGACTGTCGATTGACGTCACGTCATTTTGCGATAGTAATGTCAAAAGAAGTCATACATCAACGACCTTCAACATTTATGGAAGCCTATTATGCCTAAATAGCTTGGATGAGTTTAAGAACGTCGATAAACAGTGTCTTCTGAATGAGCACGGTAATAAATTCATGACCGAAGCAGTTTCACAGAATGAATTTTTGAGGAAGCCTGATTTACTTCTCCGGTTCATCCTTTTGACATACTGTGACTTGAAAAGATACAAATTTTACTTTTGGTTTGCTTTTCCTGCCGTCTTACATTCCGTTCAGCCAATAGTTACGTCTACTCGGAGTATTAGAGAAGAGTTTACTGAGGATCAACGTGTACTCATTTTCCGTTCATTTGATTGTTGGCGCAAAGAAAATACTTCTCCATTTTTTGTCTTAAAATCACAACCGTCGCTTGAAGTCCTTCCGTTGTCTTGTTTTGAATTGACTCCCTATGTATATGTTGGTATGTGTGATTCTTCTGTAGACTCACAGTCACCTTGCTGGCTATTACGCAATCTTTTATACGCCATGTCTTCTACCATTATTCAAACAGAATGTTCTCTAAGGATTTTATGTCTCAGGGATCGGTTCACTTCAGGAGAAAGATTTTTGGGGCATAGCATCGTCATACACATCAATATACAACCCACAAATCCGACATTTACTCAGTTTGTTGGCTGGGAAAAATGGAAAAACAAACTGAGACCACGTGTAGTAGATCTTAGTGCAAGTATGGACCCAGTTAAACTAGCTGAATCGGCAGTAGATTTAAACTTGAAACTAATGAAATGGAGGCTAATGCCGGACCTAAAACTGTCAGTTTTTCGCGATACGAAGTGTTTGTTGATAGGAGCTGGTACTCTTGGCTGCAATGTCGCTCGTCAGTTATTGGCCTGGGGTGTTCGTCATATTACCCTGATAGACAACAGCACAGTTTCCTTTTCAAATCCTGTACGGCAGTCTTTGTATGTTTTTTCTGACTCCGTGGGCTCTGTTAAAAACAAGGCAGTTGTTGCGGCCAAGGCGCTCCAAACAATTTTTCCTGGGGTGAATGCTCGCGGTTTTGATCTTAGCATCCCGATGCCTGGACATCCTGTATCTTCTTATAATCGATCTCAACATCCACAATTTTCCGAATTGGAGCAATCTGCAGAAGATACTTGTTTCAAATTAAGTGCTTTGGTTCACGAACACGATGTGATATTCCTACTAACAGATACTCGTGAATCACGCTGGTTACCCACAGTTTTGGCGACTGCTCATGGAAAACTGGCAATAAATGCTGCTTTGGGTTTTGATACATTTCTTGTTATGCGTCATGGTGTACGAGGTCCCTTTAAATCCCCAAGTTCAAATGTGGATAGCCTTACTCCACATATTTCTTCCCTCAATTTCGACGAAGTGATTCCCAACAATGAAGATTCTTTCAAAAAGGCAAGAGCCATAAGTGGTTCTTTTCTAGGTTGCTATTTCTGCAATGATGTGATTGGACCTATGAATTCAACACGCAATCGCAGTCTCGATCAACAATGTACCGTTACTCGACCGGGAGTGTCTATGGTCGCAGCTGCTCTCGCTGTTGAGTTGATGATCAGTGTACTTCAACATCCACTCCTCTATGAGGCTCCAGCAGATACACTATCTCAAGAATTTTCCAGCCTGGATTCAACTAAACTGTCTCTCGGTGTTGTTCCCCATCAAATAAGGGGCTTTCTTTCTCATTACACACAGGTTTTGCCTGCAACATCGGCATTCACCAAGTGCTCCGCATGTTCTCAGTCTGTACTAGACGCTTACATGAACAATGGGTATAACTTTTTACGACAGGTCTTTAATGACGCTTCTTATCTTGAAAGGATATGCGGTTTACAGAATCTTCATGATGAAATTAACAGTGAATCAATTTTGATGCTAAGTGACGCTGATGACTGACACTTATTTATCTGAGTTCGTCTTTTCTTATTTTATGAAGGGTTGAAATCATGCTAAGATTACGTCTTATTAATTATTATCTCAATGAACACTTTACTTCTGTATAGCTCAGTAATTTTTGTGAATATATTGAAGTACCAACTTTGACTTTTTGATATAAATGCTGTTTCATTCAGTAAGTACTACATGTCATCTGTTTTTTCTGCCCAAGTTCTTGAGTCATTTCCCTCTTAAGAATTTACGCAAATTTCCGAGCAGTGACATGGTTCAGACAATTTACATTTTCTTACTGTCAGATTACAATTCATACTACTTGCACTTTCGTTTGGATGACCATATAGGTTCTGCCTTCTTTACCCCTAATTGCCGAATTTGTATGTGGTTGTATAGATGGATTGTCATTTGTATGAGTTTACGCCTTTTCAGCCTTCTACTTTCTTGTTGTATAAAGTGTTGAATATAAAGTTAATAAGTCAAGTGTAAGTGAGATTATATCGGAAAAAGACGATACTCTCATCTGCTCCCAGTCCAGACGTTTAGAACGATGGGTGGAACATTTCAGAGAACAGTTCAACTGGCCTTCAGCTACTCTACAACTACCCTTCATTCCCAGACAGCGTGAATGGAACATTGAAGTAGGTCCCCCAACTCTAGCTGAAGTTGAGAAGGCTATAGTTAATCTGAGACGAGGAAAGGCAAGTGGTCCAGATGGACTGGCTCCAGAGGTCTTTAAGGATGGTGGTCCGATTTTAGCGATTAGGTTGACTAATATTTTAGCTAAGATCTGGGAGTTAGACGTTATTCCATCTAACTGGTCACAGTCACTGATCGTCCCAATATATAAGAAAGGGTCAAAATCATCCTGTGACAACCACAGAGGGATTAGTTTGACTAATATAGCATCTAAAATACTAGCCTCGATAATTATCAGACGCCTAACTAAGACTCGTGAACTGCAAACACGAGAGAATCAAGCTGGTTTCAGACCTGGTCGTGGCTGCATCGACCACATATTCACCATTCGTCAGATTCTAGAACACAGGCATACCTATCGGCGTCCGACAATGGTGGTCTTTCTTGACTTAAAAGCAGCATTTGACTCGGTAGACCGCGAGACTCTGTGGCAGTGTCTGTCATTGAAAGGCGTACCCCAAAAGTACATAAACCTTGCAAAGGCTCTTTACTCGAACACTACTAGTCGAGTCAGAGCTTATGGCGAACTGTCATCTGTTTTTGCAACCTCAAGTGGTGTCCATCAAGGCTGTCAACTTTCCCCATTTTTGTTTAACTTCATCATAGATCTACTGATGGAAATAACTTTCTCGTCAACTGAGTTCTCGGGTATTGATCTCCATCCAGGAGGTCCACTTATCGACTTAGAACACGCGGATGACATAGTCCTGTTTGGTGAAGACGCTGACAAAATGCAGTCTTTTGGTAGCACTAAGCAACAATGCCAGAATGTTTGGAATGCGCTTCTCTCCCTCTAAATGCAAGTTGTTGCTTCAGGACTGGTCTGCGTTAACACCCGAACTAAGGATAGGGAGTGAAGTAGTTGAACGCGTTGACAACTCCACTTACCTAGGAAGTCTGATCAGCCCTGATGGGTTGGTGTCTGACGAAATATCAGCATGGATTCGAAAAGCCCGTTTGGCTTTTGCCAACTTACGTCACCTGTGGCGAAGGCGAGATATCCGTCTCAATAAAAGGACGAGTATACTGCGCGGCAGTCCGTTCTGTTTTAATTTACAGCAGCGAAACATGGCCATTAAGAGTAGAAGATACTCGTAAGCTATTAGTATTTGACCACAGATGTCTTAGAAATATTGCTGGCGTCTGCTGGGATCACCGGGTAAGTAATAGTGAGATTCGACGCACGGTATTAGGAAATGATGGTAAATCAGTTGATGAGGTTGTGAATCTTCATCGACTGAGATGGTTGGGCCATGTGTTACGTATGCCTGAACACCGATTACCACGACGTGCAATGCTATCCGGTTTTGGAGATGGTTGGAAGAAAGTTAGGGGTGGCCAAACCAAAACGTGGCATCAGTGCTTGAAGTCACTAACTTCTGGTCTGAGCTACGTTGGTAGATGCAGACTACTTGGTTGGGGTCCGCGTGACTATCGTAACCAATGGTTGGAGACTCTTGGTGACATGGCTCGGAATCGATCACAATGGCGTCGGTGTGTACACTTCCCTTAAATTAAGAGATTCAAATCGCTTCATATCTTTCTTTCTACGAACCAATATTTTCTTCTTGTACTATATCTCTATATGCAGTCTTTCTCTTATATATTACCACCTTTGACCTAACCACTGCTATGAATCCGGTGTTCATCTTGTTGTGCTGATGCGGTATGGCAACCTGGACCGATGCACATATGTGCCTGGTCCTACGTTGTAGCTAACTGACTGACTGAATATAAAGTTAAATAATCACTCAGTAGAATTCTGAGATATTTATACAATTGTAAACTGGTCTACAGTTATGGCTACACCATGTGAACATTAAAATAATTTGGATATGCGAATAAAAAAGATGTAAGCGGTTTGTAACATAATCTAGGTTTAAAGACGTATAAAAATAGCACGAGAAAACTATTTGATCTGGTTATTCCAAAATCCGATGCTTTCTAATCTTTGAATTTAGTAATTCCTTCAGAGTTGAGTGACGTAACTCAACATATTTAAAATTCGAGAGGTCTGAACTGTTATTGTCACAACACTCTTTAGCGGTAGTTTTACATCTACTTGTATTGTGGAGTTCATCCTCCACTACATAAAACTAAATTGGGTTTATCGTTCAGTTCGAATCATTTCCATTTTTAATTTGACTTTCGCTACTAGTGATACAGTATTATGGAATGTTCGTACAATTTTCTCCTTTCTTCAGCCGAGCTACCGACACTTCACTCATAAATTGTCAGAAGTGTTTAGAGAAAGGTCACTGGACTTATCAATGTACAAATCAACGAAAGTATCTCAAACGCGAATCATACACCAGTATACTAGTGAAAAAGCTTGAAACAAAGAAAAAGTCAAAGATTCAAAAGTACGTCTAAAGCATATAACCTGGTTTTGTTCCTACAGAAAAACAAACAACACTGAATCATCATCCTCAAGCTCTAGTTCGTCCTCTGACTCTTCGACTTCAAGTTCTGGGGACGACTCTGATGATGGGGAATCTAGCTCAGAATGTAGTTCAAGCAGTAACGGAGATTCTAGCGACGACTCATCCTCCAGTACTTCCTCATGTTGCGAAAGCAGCCGATCTTCTTCCTCTACAAGTTTAAAGCGCATAAAGAAATGATCGTAATGGTACTGAAATTGTACAGTTATTATAATATATTTTAAATATCTAGCTTTCTCACAACGAGAGAAATGTGTTAAATCGTTTACTAGGGCGTTGGTATAATGGATTAGCATCGTTAAAATAATGGGTTTGATAATTGTTATTGATCGGGATTATTGACTGACGTATGGTGTTCAGAAGAAATCTGTACTACGTATCATCGTCTTAATCGCATTTTATTAGCTAGGGCAATTGTTCATCATGTTTCTACAATATAAGGAAGGTTATCTGGATATTTGTCAGACTGAAAGTAGCTGTGGTAATAATATATGTCATGTTGTGGTTAGTGAAAACATTGTCAAACAAGACGAAAGCCTATCACTTACATTGGTTCAACTAGATTTTAGGAATTAGTTTCTAAATAAGCCCCATACACTCCTTTAGGCAAAAGTAAGGGTGGGTGAGCATATACCAAAATGGTTGCAAAATCAGATGAATTCCAATGGTGAAATAAGACCACAGGATAGACAGACATCATCATCCATTGCGAAACATTTGATTGAGACGGGTCATAAGGTTGATATCAAATCAGCATTTGTTGTGTTGTACAAAAGCCTTCAAGGACGTATACTAAGGTTTATTGAAGCCTTGGCTATACGAAAATTGAAACCCCCTTTATGTGTTCAAAAACAATTTGTACTTACACTTAACCTACCCTGGTAGTACTGATTTACTGTCCAGAGTGGTAATCACATTTGTTTTTGTGTACTTTAATATTTTCCTTTGTTATGACTTACCCTTAACCTGTCTAGTTGACCTTTTAATTTTTCATATATAAATGTTCTTAACAAGTATATGTGTGACCAGATTGTTCGAAATGTATTGCGCAAATATATCACATAATTCTGATAAACTACGTCTTCTCATTGCATTATCGAAATTTATCAAAGGGACTAATTGTTTTAAAAGTAAGAAAGATTAGTTCAGCTTAGGGTTCCCTCAGAGAATTAAAATTAGTCTTCAAACTAACGAAATCAGTATCTGTGGTTCGGAGATAATTCATTCAAAATAATCTACATCACCTAACAACTTCAAATATTATGTCATTAATGGTTGAGAGTTAGTTGTTATATACATGGAGTTTGTGGTTTTTAGGCTTTTAATTACACTGAAGATAAACATTGTAGAACTGACTGAGTGTTAAGCTTAATTGAAAGCATGTCAGTCACATCTTCATTGTATATGGGGCTCTAGAACATTTATTTGTGGTAACTTATATGAAACTTCAGTTATTTAAAGGATGTCCTTAACTTCATAGTGTTGTGGCGCTTCCTAAGAGATATTTTAAGGCACTAGAAATTTAAGTAGGATAATACACTCAGGTATAAGTTTTTCAATAGTTACCTAAAAATTAAGCGACCACTGACACTTACCAAAGATGTTCATTACTATACTCCCAGTCGTGTTGGAAGATATAGGCATTTGAATTGAATCTCGTGTAGTCATAATAATTTATGATTGAGGATCTTGAATGACGTGGCTGAAAATTAGTGGCGGTGACAGTGCAATTCATTATAGATATTCTGTATCCTGAGCTTAGTATCATCTTCAAAATCTTCCGTCCCTTCCACACTTCCCTATGCTTCGTTCCCCACTATATGTTCATACCAGGCACTCATTTTATAACATGATACTGTAAAAACAAAGAACAGTTGTCTCCGTATATGCCAATTCTCCAAATACCATCTTAATAGTCATGCTGCTTCGTTGGTCTGGACGTGGTATGTAAGACTTATCCTTTCTCTACCTCATTTCCATGTCGTCGTGCTAAGCTGACATGATAAATTGAGCCAACGCACAGCCGTCCCCGGCTTCACGTTGGCGATGTCTGACTGTCTTGAATCTTATTTGATAAAGCTCACTTTTAGCAGATAAGATACAAAAAGACTAAGATTTTTACGGCGAATATCAATGTTTTCGTAATCTTTTTGTTCAGGGTGGGGTTTGTGGAGATTGTAATAAATTTAATTTATTATTTATTTGTTTGAACACAAATATCGGTACAAGGGAGCGCCAAATACATATGCGCCACACAAAACAATGAGAATGGGAAGAGAAAAAAGGGAGATAAGGAGCGTGAAAAAAGAACAATAACGGCCAGATTAGTGTAAGGAAGTGTGTTATAACTCTCTTTTTTCTGGTTATGACCCAGCTATTCCTATTGCTTAGTATTCTCGGACACCGATTCACTCGACAAGTCCCCAAATCAAAACACGGTTGAACAGGAAGAGATTATATTCCAAATAACAAGGTTAGATGCAAGTGAGAAGCAAGCCAGAAGCCCAATAGGGAAAAACGTCATTATATTTATAGTTTTTACATAAGAAGATTCCAGAGTATTCTCCAACTATCGACTAGTGCTGATTGGATAAGAATCAGCCAATCAGCGTGCACCAAAGCAATCATGCATTGAGCATGCTTTAATCTAGTCTATGTCCCGCTAACAAAGTGTAATAATAATAATAATAATGGGGGAGATGGAAAGGTACAACCAGAAGAAATCTTTCAGTTAAGGAAGATACAGCCACTTTTATATGAAGAAAGTAAAAGAAGGTTACAGCAGGATCGCCACTGGCTTCTATTCTGAACCATATCTGATAACGTCTCTAGCCATTGTGTCGCACCATCTCTCGGACCCCAGCCAGGGAGTCGTGAAGGACCAACAGAAGCCAGCTCTTTGCAGCTTCCTTTCATACCCCGACACTATGTCATACACTGACCACCTCTCCGCTTCTTCCAACCAGTCCCAGAGTCGGCAAATAATGCACGACGTGGAATTCTCTGGGACGACATTCGTAGGACATGTCCAAGCCACAGAAGTCGGTGTTCCAAAATGGTGACAACAATTGGATTATCGTCTCTGCTCCCGAACACACGATGCCGAACCTCTGAATTACTAACATGGTGTTGCCACTGGATGTCAGCAATCCTTCGGAGACAGTGATGATCGAATACAGAGTCGTCTAACATCCTCAACTCGGAGAGGCTAGGTTTCGCCAGCATAGAGCAAAACTGCTCTCACCGACACGTTGTAGATCCGACCTTTTACAGCCAAAGATGCCACAGGGTCCCCGGATAAACGCATGTAAAACAAGCTTTTTGAAGCGACAGATGGAGTGAGGATTTGTAGTACTTCACCAGAATATTGAATAGGGGTCTCGGATAGACAACGAACGTCGATATTAAGACTTTTCAATGACAGCCAGCCCTATCTGTTGTCCGATCTGCATAAGTGTGCGAACGTTGAAGGCAGCCAGTTTGAATGGTGCATGTGGTTTCAGAAAAACTGCTTCAGTATTCGTATTTGATCGTAGCATACAATTTTCAACCAGACAGTGACTCGAGAACGTTTAGATAGAACCGAGTTTCCACTATAGGCGAGCTACTGTATAAATCGCAAAAAAGGAAATACAAAGTGGGAATAAAAGAGAGCGAATAAGTAACGTGGTGAAAAATAATAATAATGTGAATGTTTGACTGTTAATCGAAGCGTGGATAGAATTTTCAGTAAATATCGTCATTTTCATTTCATTTGTATGTGGGCTGTGATACTGCCAAGGTGCCCAGACCGAAGCAGGTGGTTTTCTTAGGGGGCCACACCCCGAGCCTTTAACCTAAAGGTCCAACCCACAAGGCAGTGGAGCATCATGAGGAGATGCAGTCCCATGGTACCCGGTGACCAACGATTGGTTCATACGCCATTTGTTCCTTCAGGATACTGGAACCCATGTGCACCATTGATTTGGGATCCGGTTAAAGCGCCGGACATTCGCTTTTCATTCTCTCATTTTCGTAAACAACACCCCCGCCACGAAAAGGCAGTGGGTAGGACTCCCCTGACAGAGGCTGTATACGCGTGGCTTGTGAGAGCATTTCGATAGGGGGCGGGCCCACCTCACCCTCGGCCATACCAGGGCAATTTTAATAGTTGAATTCATGAGTCGATGTAAGCTAGACCCTCAATGAAAACCTGGAAGCACTGGACAGCCTTGTCGTCTTAGTATGGGACTCCTCAGTTTTGCGTACCTATGATCCCACACACAGGACTCGAACCCAGGACCTGTGGTCTGGCGTGCGAACACTAGTGACTAGCTTCAAGATAAATTTCCTGGAGTTTTCGTGAGAAGTTTTGACCAGTGAAACCCAATCTGTGTATGATGTGAGACATCCACCTCAGGCAGTAGATCAAGGGTTGAGCAATATCATGGATTGATTGAAGTTAGACATTTACACCATCGAATGTCGGCTCATTGGTCTGGAGGCTAAGCGTCCGCGCACGAGACCGAAGGTCCTGGGTTCGAATCCTGCGTGCGTAGTTGTGGGTACTCACAACTGAGGAGTCCCATACTAGGACAAAACGGCCGTCCACTGCTTCCAGGTTTTAATTGGTAGTCTGGCTTACATCGACTCATGAGTTTAAGTATTAGTTTTCGTAATCATGTAAGTTATAAATTGTGAAGAACGTGATGGTTGTTAAATACTGAACTACCGTTTTTTTAAAACAGGTTGTAATCACACGGAAAATTTTTCCTCTATTTTTATGAATGCAAGTTATATGTGAGATGCAATTCATTTCATAATGGTCAATACACTACCACTTGAAAACTTTACAGGGAAATAGGCAGTATACCACGACTATGAACGTCAGCGGTTTAGGCTCATTGTTTGTTTCTAAATTGGTGTTATGAAAAGGAAACATTGTTACAGTACTGTCAAGTTACTTGCTGTGGTTCATTTTACTAGCTTTCTTGCTTTGCATTAAATTCACAAACTCATTCATTATCATTTAAGATCTTATACTATTTTCAGTTAGCGAATCGTCTTTCGCTGAATAAGCCACTCGAATTAATTTATCGGGCATTGGATGACATATCTATTGATGGTGATAAAAGAACTACCTAATACTAAAGTATAAATTTATTTCAGTATCTAATCCTGAGTTTTAGAGTGATATTTTAGTAAGTTGAGCATCGACAGAAGTCAAGAACAATCAGTACTTTACAGTTTTACTTGAATGAGTCCTTCCAAAACAATGAAAGAAACCGATTTGGGATACAAGCGTATCAATTATTTTTGAATAACTGAATTCGATTTTATAATCGGTATTTCAAAACAGTAAATTTTCGTGGTATAGCATGAGTCATTTTGTAGTAGGATAAGTTTAATCTTCACTGGAAAAAAATCGATCGGTAGTTATAGTCACTGACCTGTATGGTTACATCCAAGACTGCTGTTTATGTACACTAATTTGTAATAAATCATAATGATCTCTGCGTATGTTCATTGCTGTCAACACGAAGTATGGTTGTTATTGTTGTTGTGTATCAAATGTATGTACCGAAATTGTTTGTTACTATTACTCAGTTTTAGTTTTAACCTATGTTTATAATAGTTAATCATTTGTTTCAATATGTTCTATTGAAATTTATAGACAAATTTCATTTTTATCAAGGCTAACCACACGAATCTTTCCCTATGAGATGTGGAGCAGTGTTAAATAATATTTACTTAAAAATATTTGGCTTATAAATAAACTAAGCAAATCTAGGTTTGCCGACTGACCACTTGAAGGAACTATTGTTACGTTGTACCTTTAATATCAAGTTCAGTTTCAACAATGGAATATATAAAGAGATGGGATCACAATCGAGTCTCCATTGAGTCCAATTTTAGCAGACCGTTTCATAGCAAAACTGGGAAACGACCAACTCAGTTCGATGATTACTCGATTTCATCCGTACGTAATATACATGGACGACACATTTGTCGTTTATGACGATAATACTGAATTAGAAGATATCTTACACTCCTTCAATACGTGCCACCCTTCCATAGACTTCACGTTAGAAAGTGAGTGGGAATAGTCAATCTCTGTTCTCAATGTGCGTTTGATGAAAAGGGTAACGGTTCCTTAAAAGCCCCATATTTAAAAAACAAACATGGAATGACCAGCTGACATACTTCTATAGATGGGTTTCTTTAGGCAAAAAGAGAAATCTCATTCACTCTTTATGTAATCAAATACATCGGATATGTAGTATGGAATGCATTGACGAAGAACTCGCATTCCTCAGGAAAACTCGGACGAAAAATGGCTATCCGGACCGCTTCATAGATAAGAATCTGAAAATAAGTAGTCGTGACAAGAAATCTGTTTGTTCCGTTTCAAAGAAAAACCTCTATATAAGTTTGGAATTTAAAGTGATCGAACTTCTGATGTAATCAAAAATCGTTTAACGACAGCGATTAAAAGAACATTCAATGCGGCAAAACCGTGAATAACGTTAAGTAGCGGGAACTTATTTTCTGTATCCATAATAAATAAGCTTCCCCGTCTGGTCACCTCCATGTGTATCTACCAGTTCACTTGCTCTTGTGGAGCAAGGTACATTAGCCGTAACCAGCGATCGCTTTCAACTCGGATACGGCAACAAGTTTCAGTTTGGTTCTACAAGGGTGGGATAAAGGAAGTTAGGAGTTCTATACTTGAACACCTAATCGACTGTAATCATTCTACGGATCCATAGTTTGGTTTTAAGTTTGTATATACGACTCGTTTAAATCTATCTAGATTTCTTCGTATCCAACTCCTAAAAATAGCCGAAGCTCTTACCGTCAATGAGCTCAAGCCAAACTATGCGTAAAAGGAGTACGTCCTATCGTTATCGTTACCTTGGACTTAATTATTATTATTATTATTATTACTTCATTCCCCCTTTACTTATGTTTCATATCCTCATTATTTTATTCATAAGTACTCATCATATCACTTTATTTATTTATTATTTTACACCTGTATGACCTTTAGTTATTGTAACAAAAACATTTAAGTCATGTTACTACATTCACACTATAATCCGTTACAAATTTAATAAGTCTATTCTTATTATTCGTATTGCGTAATCTAGTATTAAAATCTTTTTATCACATCACTTGGTTATTCGTGTTCACATTTGCTCACGGAACTAGTACTTTAAGAAAAAAACCATGTATATGCGATTGTACAGCTTGATAATAAATTCGTTGAAAAGAGATCCCTTCGCTGAACTTCTTTTTCATTTTTAAATATGGATAAGTAGATTAAGGATTGAACATTTTACTTTTATCGCCGTAATTAGTTCGTGGAATTGATTGAGAGCTGTAAATGCTACTTAATACTGATAATGACTATTGTTAGACTGATAACTAGCATAGGAAATTTATCTAGATGTATTCGTATGTGATACATCTAGTTCTAAGAAATTGGAGAATTTTACGCACATATATTCGTTTTTGAAATTACAAACGAATATACAAATATGGTTTTCTTTACGTTGATTAACAAGTTTGGTATGTCTATATAATCCCAAGTGATTGTCAATTAGTTTACAGTTTTTACACCTTATGGTATATAGAACTTTTCATTTAATATGTGTAGCGTCTATTCGTGGTCTCTTATTAAGAGGAAACAGTGTTACCTGGTCAGTAAACATCGAAGATTGCATACAATCAAATATTAAACCTCAAAAAGAGCATGAAAATTTTAAATCACCAAGTATGAAATTCAGTGGTTCACATATCTCAGTCATAAGCAGCTTTCTTCCGTATCGTGGTATAATGTAATAGACTGGTTACCTTTCTCATTTGTATGCTCAGTTCCACCGTCAGCATTTGAGGTTTGATGTGGAAGCCGCTGGGATAAGATCTGTGAAACATATTCAAGCTTTCGGTTATAACGAGAAAAGATGGTAACAGCAATCGGATTATCGTTACTGCATCCAAATACAGATTGCTGTACCTTAGCATTAATAACATGGTTTTAACACTGAAAGAGACGAATCCTTAGGGAACAGTGATGGTCAAGCACAATGTCCCTTAATATCTTCGAATTGGACGGTTCATTTTTTCTAAGCATAGTACAGAAATACTCTTATCGATGCGTCGTAAACCTAAACTTTTGCGTCCAGACTAATATCTTGACAATGCCTTAGATTGATGAAAATCACAATTTACGACCTAAATTGCAAAATCATGAATCAGTAGATTCCAATGCAGTGGTATTGTACGCATCTCAAGCCCTGAAAGTTTCAGGTTATATTCTGCGTAATATTGTAGAAAAGTACTTTACTGAGATGAGTCCCAAACTAAAATCCGTAGAAAACCACTTCATTGAAGAAAGTTTCTGCTTGTCAACGTGCTTAGCAAAAAGGCAGCAGATAAAAACTAGATAAGGTATATAAATCGCTATGATTCTCAGAACCTTGGAAAAACATGTTGGTGTTACATCCTCTAGTGCAAAGTTTCTTTTCGTGCAGAATTAGACCTCTATATGTAAATAGTCGGATCCCATCTTTTTGACTTAAATAAAGGCCTTTCAGATGCCTATCATTAAGGAAAAGTGATTTGTTGTTTATTACCATTATATTTCTTAAAATGTTGTACTAAGTCTTGATTACCATTGCGAATTACTCGGTTACATATAGAAAGTCTAAATATCATAAAAATAGAGTAAATAAATCACTATAAAAAATAAACACAATTGTTATCCTTTTGGTGGAGCGGCTGTTAACTAAGTCTCATGTTCAGATCTTACTGTACCTATTTCAGCTTGGACTGTTAGTTAATATCCCTAGCCACCACAAAAATAATGTGACTTAAAGCTGACCACATATACTTCGACTTTATAAATAGATCGTGTTAATATATTGAAATATCAAAGAGTTGCTAAGTTTTATGGTAGTTGTTGGAAGGCCTGTTCAGTGCTTCTGGATTTTCAGTGGTTTCCCAACTAGTGCTAGTTTATGCTTTAAATTATTTTTATAAATTCAGCCTATGAGATTTTAACCCCTTATGTGTATAAATATATTTGCAATTGATTAATCATTGGAAAATGACTAATGCCATGTCTGTCGGGCTCGTTACGGAGCATCAGTTGTTTTCGAGTTTACGGGTACACGCCGAATAGTAAGACACCTGTGTCCAGAGTGTCTTGTCGACTATCTCCAACCACCACCTTGCATATATATATATATATATATATATATATATATATATATATATATATATATATATATATATATATATATATATATATATATATATATATATATATATATAATCAGCCTAAACTCCATGAGAAATTACTCTAATCGTTATTGTTTCGTTATGTTATGGTACATGTATCTCAGTTACTCTTACCGTTTATGAAAGCTGCGTAAGTTGGTTTTAAAAATGGTTGTAACTTTTAAAACGCTACTGATACTACCAGGGTACTGAAATCAAAGCTGATGAAACTTGGTCCAAACCCAAAATTCGTTGGTGAAAACAGATCACTTTAGTCAGTAAGTTACTGCTTCATATTTTTAACTAATTTTTCTTACGAACACGATGTAAACTCATCCCTCCACATCAAAATTTGAGTTAAAAATAATTTTAGTGCTTTTTTCATAAGAAAAACTAAACAAAATCAGTAAGACCTCAAAGCATATTGAACAGAAGGTTTTCTTACCTCAGTGTCTGTTAATTGTGTTTTATGGACAAGCTATTGACTGTTCATTTTCTGGTATACGTTAATACTGAATGTTAAATTGTTCAACAATCTATTGACAAAGTACTACTTTCTATTGACTTATCCAACTTCCTCCACGTCGTTTCATAAAAGTTCATCTAGTATGTTATATGCTTCAATAAGTGACTTGACCTCATGACTATATTGTAAAGATTAGTACAAATTCATGTGAGCAATTATAATAACGATTGGAATTTTCAAGTTCGCGGATAATGGTGTATTGCCTGTATTTATAATATTTACTGCTTGTCGATCAGTCATTGACAAAAATAGAACCCAATATGAATACTCATCTTACTTCACTGTCACACCTAATATCAGCGTAGCAAAAGAAGAGTTTTTAAGATGGTAGTCACAGATGTTAAAAGAGTATCAATAGCAATCATGGTAAAAAGTGAACATAGTTTGAAAAAAACTGAGGGATAAAAAAGTATAGATAGTAAAAATGCCAATATTCAATGAGACAAAGGACTGATGTACCAAATGATATTAATCCACGTCACTTATGATATCCTAATTTTGTTAAATTCATTATCATAAGAGCATCTAAAGTAATGTATTCAGTAGTTAGACACTTAAGCAAAATTCTCTTGAACGTATCAAACATTTTGGATTTTTTCTTCTATATAATGTCATAATGTGGTTTAATGTTTTGTACATGTAAAGTCGAGTAAACATCTGTTGAGTTTTGTAGGAATTACGTAAAACAATAACAATTAGTCGGTAGTTGTTATACGCTACTAATTTATTAAGCATATAGTTGAAAATTTTAAATATATTTAACATTTAAAAGATAGAACATTACATAAACGAACAGTATAATTTCTGGTTAAATTTTTATTAGGCTTTACTATAATATGCAGTGATCGTTAGATTGATACATGAAATTACTAAACCAATCAAGACGGTTTATCAAGAGAACGCGATTGGTTTAACGGAAACAATTATTATTATAACCGATTGTACCACGGGTCGTTTCACTACACTTGTTTGTTTAACTGTACTAAAGACATTCTCCAATTGACTCATGACCTCAACTGTTTAAATTCTTTCTTCCGTTGATTGTGACCTTGCACGAATTCGGTTACACTCAGTAGCCCCACTTGTACGCCTTTGGCACGATCTCGGTATTCTTTCGATACTACGAGATCACCAACAAACACATCACTACTACAGCCATAAACTGCCTTCCGATATTTGACCTACAAGGGATCTTATCGGTTAACTGGCACGTAGTCTTCCTGTAGTGGTGATAATAGTCAACCGCGACTCTACGCCTCACTACGAGTGATAAAAACGA